GATATTTAAACATTTGCATTTTAGTTGATTCAAAAATATAAACAAAGTGTACTAAGTTTGACAATGTTTCTATGACTTTAGAAATATGTAAGTTGATTGCATAAAGACTTCTATGTGAATTTAACTAAACTAATATATTCTTTCTGGGCCATAAATGGACTTACACCACTTTCATAATTATTGAACTGTAAAATTCATTAAATTTCTATTATGTAAAACTCAATTTCACTTGAAACACATTGTGTTTTATTCTGATTTTGTTCATATATAATAACAAGAAATAAAATAGTATTGTTTATTCTGAACATTAAAATATTTACTTATTGTTAAACTATTTTATAATAAGTTTATCACCCAACTTCACTGCCTGTAACCGGCATTCTTCTTCTCCAATACAGAGGACTTTGCAAACGTTTTTGAACCTAATGTGGTTCTTCTTCAGGCGCTATGGAATTTCCTATATGAATTTGAATTTCCAGAATTAACCGATGTTTTGGAAAATTTTTATGGAACATTGTGACGTGTGACTGATGCGTCATCGTAGACTTGCACATTATCCGTATGTTGTTACTTTAGAGTTTTATTGAGGAAGGCTTCCCATGCTGTTGATATCTTCATTTCTTGTTTGAAGTTAATGCAGTGCTTATTCCTGAGGGTGTTAAGGCAAATGTATATGGCCTCTAGCCATATGAGGTGTTCTGTGCGGACCGTGGTGTGAATAATTCTGGCTAGAGGGAATAGCGGCTCTATTTCTGGGTCGGAGGAGTATACCGCTAAGGCAGTGTTGTTTCTATGATGTAGGGTGTCCGCTTTGTGTTCTTTGATTCTAGTTACTAAGTTGCGTTTAGTGGACCCGATGTAGAATACTTCGCTGTTGTCTCTATGATCGATGATGGGCACAGAGTATACTCCTGGAAGTCTGTTGCTGTCTGGAGTGTCTTTTCCGTTCCTAAGCCAATCGAATATTGTGGCGCACCTCCTAAATGCCAAGCAGACATTCTTTTTCTTGGCTATCTGGTTGTATATGGCCTTAAGTGCCGGGTTGTACGTGATTGGTATGTACTTAACCAGGGAATCATTGGAATGAGAGGTGTTGTTGGATTGTTGTTGGAGTACCTTGTTGTTTATCTTGCATAAGACATTGTGATAGCCATGTTGTTTAGCTATGTGCTCTATGCGTCGCATTTCAGAATTGAAAGCTGATTGTGACGAGGAATGTGAATATGCTCTTTTGATTAGTGTGTTGAATGCTGCCATCTTATACTGTGGTGGGTCACATGATGTTGCAGGTATATACAAAGGTTGAGCGGTTGGTTTATGATACACTTCTGTATTGATCAATACAGTTTCTGTATTGATGGATGATCCCTTTATTTTGATGTTAATGTCTAAGAAGTGTGCTTGGGTAGGGTCGGCTTGATCTAATTCCACCGTTAATCCATAGGGGTTATTGTTGATGGAGTCGATTAGCATCGAGATATTTGGGATCTTCTTCCATAGAATAAGGATATCATCGATGTATCTTTTGTATAGAAGAATGTGTGGGAGTTGAGATGGTAAGAATTCCGATTCGAGTTTTCTCACCACAATCTCGCAGAGGTCTCCTGCGACTGGGCTTCCCATTGGCACACCACGTTGTTGTTCGTGAGTGACTTCGTTGAATCTGAAGAAAGAGTTGTGGCAGAGCAGATGTGACATTTCTAGGATGTCCTGTTGTAACGTGTTATCTTGGATCATGTGCATAAGCATATCTCTTACGGCACAAAATACCGATGGGAGATTGATGGAAGGATATAAAGATTTGAAGTCCAAGACAGTTATGAATTTCGGAGGTGTCGATATGTGTTTAAGGATGTTAACTAAATTATTATGTTAAATTAAACTATATTATGTTATTCACACCACGGTCCGCACAGAACACCTCAGATGGCTAGAGGCTATATACATTTGCCTTAACACCCTCAGGAATAAGCACTGCATTAACTTCAAACAAAAAATAAAGATAACAACAGCATGGGAAGCCTTCCTCAATAAAACTCTAAAGTAACAACATACGGATAATGCGCAAGTCTACGATGACGCCATCGGTCACACGTCACAACATTCCAAAAAATTTTCCAAAACATCGGTTAATTCTGGAAATTCGAATTCATATAGGAAATTCCATAGTGCCTGAAGAAGAACCACATTAGGTTTGAAAACGTTTGCAAAGTCCTCTGTATTGGAGAAGAAGAACGCCAGTTACAGGCAGTGAAGTTGGGTAATTTATCTATTCCGGTGTTAAAATTTCTGTATAGTTTAATAAGTTTATCATTATTATGAGCTTACCATTAGACACTGCTTTTCATTTAGATTCATTATATGTATTCTTTTCCATTTCATCAAATTGTACATTTGTTGGTAATATTTATAGTTTTACTCCTCTGTTGTAAGGGGCTGTCTTTATATGATGTCCACACTGAAAGAGAGGGAGGGGTTAAGACAAGTCGGACAAGGGGGGTTGAGTATTAGTGGACATCATTTATTTCATTAAATTTTATACAGTATGCATTTTATTATATTTATTTCAAAGTTTCTTGTATGTTTCATTTCTACTTATGGTATCTATCATTCATAAAGTGATGAAGGTTTTAACGGGGATAGAGTTATGTTGGACATCCATAGAGGAAAAGTGGTTACAAAAACTTGGACAAACTGGGACAAGAGGGAAAAGTAAAAATTTCAAGAAAAATGTGCATGTAATTTATGGACAGCCCAAGTGCTTAGATTGTAGAAAATGGACTTACACCACTTTCAAAATAAACAGTCCATATTATACTATAATTTTTAAGAAATAATATTTCAGAGATTATAAATTAATTCTAATTAATTAAACACACTCAGAACACCTTTTTAAATTTACATTTAATTCTGATTTACATTTTCAATTTTGAAATTAAAGAATAAATTGAAACAGATAAGTAAAGAAAAATCTTTATTTTTTTTACTGTGTACAAAATTCAATTTGAAAAAATTTTGTTTATTTATAAAATTACTTTCATATCTGTACATCTTGAGCTTGAGGAAACTTCCTTTTTTTGAGTTTTAGTATTTATGCAACATATATGTAACAGTTTTTGACTGCAAATATTTATAATAGTCAAAGTAAAAAACTCTATTACAAATTCATTTATATCTAACAAATGTTCCTTTAGGCCCCTTATTGTGTACTATTTATGTTAATGACCTGTTTGAATTTCTACCAGAAACCAACCTTATAATGTATGCAGATAATATTGTAACATCATACTTAGACTCAAATACAAGAGTTATTCAAGGTAATGTAAACAATATATTAAAAAATTAACTGAATATCTGAAAATTAATAATCTGTATATTAACACTGATAAGACTAAATTTTTGTGTTTTACAAACAAAATTAAGCATATATATGATGATCAGTTTTAATTTAAAATAAATAATAAGGAAATTATTAATTAAACAACTTACACTACCTAGGCATTACAATATTTCTGATAAATTTTATGGAATTTGCACATAAATAGTTAATTTTAGTGTTAGCCAAGTTCACTGGAATAATGAAAAGGACTACAGCCATTCTTAAATTTTAATTTAATTAAAGGTCTTTACCATACTTGTATTGAAACTAAACTTAAATATAGAATATTAATCTGGGATTCCTGTTCATATTATAATTTAAATAAATTGCAAATATAACAAAACCATTTTATCAGATCAATTCATAATTTGTACTATAATGTTTGTGTCTACCTATTATATTCAACATAAAATAGATACACTATCAACTTTATATAAAAAATGACTAGTCTTGGACAGTTTTAAGTTACTTAAGCAACAAAAATCTGACTGTTTTCTTTTCAATTTAGTCTATCCTAGATCAACAAACTACAGTTCTAAAATGAAAAATAACTATTTGTTGCTAGAAATTAATTTAGAAGTGGGCCAAACAGCACCTTTGTTTCAGTTGATAACTTTAGCAATTTGTCTACACTATGAAATGAGAGTTAAGCAATTATAAACTTTTTAGAGGAAGCTTAAGAAAGCTGTTTCCTTTTTGTATTTTTTCTTGGTTGTTTTTTTTTTTGCTTATATTCATATATTGTTTTTATTAAATACTTTAAAATGAAAAAGGTCAACAGGTCAAAGTGTAAAGTTTTTTTCAAACTATTAAACTATGGCACAGTATGCTTGTGCTAATTTCTATTCTTTTCAAAGTTAACATGCATAAAAATCTCAATAACTTAATCCATCAAAGGTTTGAAATTTGTTTCCAAGTTGGCTGCATTGCAATAGCAGGAAAATAATGAAATAGGATTTTCCAGGCATATGTCAATGTAAAGGCTAAATTTTGACTCAAACAAAATTTTGGTTTTAACTATTTATTAAGGCTAGTTTGAGAATGACTAAAAATTGAAATAACCCAAATAGGGGCAGGAATGCATCCATTATTCATTCATTTAGTAGAATTGCATGATTCTTGTTAAATTTCTTGATTTCTAAAATGCTATTTCTGACAGTTTGTAAACTGTTTGTTCTGAACTTATTTGGAAATATTTTGCACATCTCTGAGTTGGTTATTCAAATACAATTTTCCTTTTCCAAGCATTATCTGTAGTTTTGGTATTTCCAATGATACTTTACTAAGAGAGAACTTTCCCCAAATCTAAATAGAAGAAAACAAAGTAAATACTATTTCTAAACTTAAGCTGTAGGAATGGTTTTCTTGTGTTAAAGTTAGTATACAAAGTAAATAGTTGTAAATTCTGCTAGATGATTTTTACATTATATGGTAATATTAAAAAACAATTCTAGATATCAAAATTAGTCAAAATAATTGATTATAACTTGTTTCATTTTTAAGTTGTTACTTAGTTTTATTCTGTATTCACTTAAAGGCATTACTAAGTGTTTAATTAATATTATTGTTTTAAAGATTTATTATTATTTTAATATTTTATGAGAACTACCAAAGATGAGCCACATAAACCTAAATATATATTTTTTAATTTAACCTGGGTGGAATTAAGACTAATGTTTATTGCTGAACAAAATGCCTTGGCTGAGCTGGAATAATTTTCATTTATTTTCAGAGAGACCGTTCACTTGTGAATCTGCATCTGATGCACACAAGTTTCTTCCTTTTTGTCACTGTGGTCACTCTCCTGTGCTTTGCTCTCATCCGTGGAAGATATAGATCACCTAAGAATGCTCTTTCAGATAAGGTAAATTTTACAAATCCTTCATGCCATTAAATGCTTCTTACAATTAATAATTACATTTGTTATTTTAAAGGTGACTCCAGAGGTATGAAGGACATTCTTCTCTTCCTTGGTGGATCTTCTCTTGTTCCTGCATTTGTAAATATTTTAAATAAATTTTTTGAAAAAGAACTATTAAATTTGTCTTCTATTGTTTTTTTTCTGTCCATTTACCAACATTCTTTTCTCTTCCAAATGTATACTTTGATCTCCTCTGGCTTCTTCCAAATGTATACTTTCTCTCTAGCCAAGTCTGGTGGGAGCTCCTCTATTATACTGTCTTTGCCTGCATGGCTCCAAGGCAAGGACAAGAAGTGCAGCAAATATTGGCCTTTTCAGAAGACAGTTTGCCTATAATTGGTCACTTGCTTGATTGTTGTGGTTCTGTTAAAGAGTGGTGAGAATCAAATACTGTATCCAAAAATGCATAGTTTTTCTTTCTGCTCTGACTTTGGATTTGACTAGCAAACTTCTGCATGGCAGTTGTTAGAAAATAATGCAATAAAAAAGGAGTGTGCCAGAACTGGAAAGGCTATTTTATATATATAGTGTGAACTAGCTTTTCCAATGAAAAGTTAACACATTTGTCCAGTACAGCACATTCCGTGCATTCTTTTATTCAGCAGTGCACTGAGCAGTTGCTACTGGAAATGATTTTTTTGCTGCTGATGGTTGAAAACACTTGCTGGAGAAAGAGCTATCTCAAAATGGCTAATACAGGTATACCTCGCCTTATATTGGTAATTGGTTCCAGGAGAGGCGACTGAAGTCAAAAAACGACGAATTTATTTGTCACTAGGCTAAACCACAAATAACCATTCCCAGTTTTGTATTTTATTTATAAATGAATTTTTAATAATATATGGTTAATAAGAAACTATTTTAAGCTTACAAACAAATAAATTTTAGTTTTTAATATAGTACAGAAAAAAGTAATCTAAATTTATGAATTCGTGTATGTACAGTACATATTTGTAAATGTACATGTTTACAATTTGGTGATGTTTACAGTACATTGCGGACTCTTCATTTGTGAATGTGATTTGCTCTAAGACATTATAAAATAAGATGATTTTGTAAAGTTAAATAACAAATGCAGTTATTAAAATTATCTTGCGAAAATACTTGAGACAATATTGAGCATTTAAAGACCTAAATAAGACGACAACACAGAAACAGATGTTTTCATGTTTCGTTCTCTAGGATTTATGATGATAATATTTACTGTAAATGTACATATTTTAATATGATTTTATGTGCTTTAACGCTTTTATAGTGATATTACAACTTCAATATTTGTGGCGGACAAACGTAAAGCCGAATAAAATGACTTAAACTTGGTTTTTATTTTTCCATATATTTTTTGACAAACGATGTATAATCGAGAACGTTGTAACTCGAAACGACGTAACATGAGATATACCTGTATAAACAATGATTCTCTTTCTGCTATATTTACACACGTTTGTTCAACATTATTAGAAGAAAAGCCATTAAGTTCGATATTATTTATAAGAAAACGAGGAAATGATGATTTATTTATGTCATTGGCAATGACTGATTCCCAACAACGAAGCAAGCGTACAAAAATTGTTGGTTACGTTTACAATATTGTACTGTGGTATTTGAATGAAATCTTTAAAAGCCATTTTCGCATGTCACAGTTAACAGTTGAGGTAAGTGGAAGTAGACTGTGATTTAGCTTATTATGCTGCACTAATTTTTATCGAAATATTCAGATTAGGGATGGGAAATATTTTCTTTCTGGTTTGGTCGCCTATTTTCATATGTTTGCTGGCCTTTCTGTTGAAAACTTACTTAAAAAATCAATAATAATCCACACACGTATAAGCTTTTGGCATTTACAGCTCTTATTAGAAGGGCATTCCATTATTGCTCCAACCTGTATGACAGGTTGCAAGAATTGAATAGGATCAAAACCGTTGCTAGAACCTTGGGATTTGGAGCAAAAGTTATTGAGGAGTTAATAAGCTCATACTCAGATTCTAACAAAAAGAAGACAAAGCAGAATATTAACAAAGAAGTTACTAAGTTCACTTACAACAGAGGAATGTCCAATATCATGAAAGAAATTGCAGACTACAAGAATACAAAATTACTATACAAAAGGGCTCCCATGGTTTATAATTTGCTTAGAAATGACAAAGATACGATCAAAAAGGAAGAACAATCTGAGGTATACAAGACACCATATAAAAATGATCGATTCAGTTGTTGAATGGAATGAGGCTAGGATTGTTAGACCGGTGTGCTCATCGTCTTTAGCAATGACTGTAGAAAAGTTCAAAATATATAGATCCAGCCTTACTGGCAAGTGTTTAAACCACAAAGATGCCACAGGAGTAATCCTGTGGCATCTTTGTGGTTTGGTAGGCATGGTAATTTATGATAAAATATAATATGTAAAGTGCACTCAGTTGATATAATTATGTATATTTTGTTAGTATATTTGTGTTTTATTTTATTCCATGTATTTTAATTAGTTCAATTTAACATATTTATACTACTAGTTACATTTTTGATATATTTCAACGATATGTTCAAAACAGTTATAAAAAATTTGAATTTCTTTTCATATAATCGTTCGAACCTGGAACCAATATAAAAAACTTTCCAGAGAATTCAAAATACCTGATGATGGCCTGTAGATCATGTCGAAAACGTTTGTAAGACAATAAATATTGGTTCTCAGAGACATAAGGTGTGTGTCATAGTACAATAATAATATATTAGGTATGTCCATAATGTTTATGTAAAATTTCAGCCGAAACAATATCTAATTCAAATTGCCTTTTGGTTATTCAATTCAGACACTGGTGAAGTTGAAATATGATAAAAGATGCTGAATTAAATATTATTATTATTTCTTCAGAATTCTTAAATTTCTTTAGCTAATATACTGTTATTTAATATTTTTATGACTATTTTTTAAGTGTTTTGCGTAATGTAATTTTGTTCGCGAGAAACTGCGCGTTCCAATCCTCTATATTTTACCATATCTTATACAAACTATACAGTTAAGTATGTATATGCAGTACATGATTTTTTTCAGATTTTGGTGAAAATGCTACCAGCAAAAATACCTATCAGAAAACTGTATACACCAAAAGAAAATATAATGCTCATGTCTCTGTGGTTATTAGGAAACCAAGAGAGTTTCCGTGGTGTGTCAGATCGATTTGGAATGTCCCAAAGTCATGCAAACACTGAGTTCACCAAGTTTTGTTATCAACTACTAGAACTTGCTCCACAGATCATAAAATAGCCAAATGGTGAAGCAGTCCAAAAAGAAATTAAGGATTTTGCTGAGTTAAGAGCTAATAGTTTGCCCAATACACTTGGCTGTATTGATGGAACACGTTCTGTTTTCTGTAAGAAAACATGAGAAAAATGCTCACATTAATAGAAAACAAGTGGCAAGTGTGATTTTGCAAGCTATTTGCAATGCAGATTTAAAATTTATTGACATATTTGCAGGTTGGCCAGGATCAGCAAATGATGCTAGAATATTCTAATACCATAACTCTCCAATTGCACAAGCCATTGCTAATGATTCAAATTTTTTACCAAATGATTCACTCATTTTAGGTGACTGTGCTTATCCACTTAGCAGACACCTTCTTACACTTTTTAGAGACAATGGTCATCTTGAAAGAAAAGAAAAAATTTATAACAAAGTTTTAAGGCATTTGGTCATCTCTTTGGCCATATGAGGATACTAAAATATTTATATATTTTAAGAAGGGAGCTTGTGCCTGTGTGATTACTTCAGCATGTTCTAAACACAATTTGTGTAATATGTATAATGATGGTCCTCCATCAGAAATTGATAATGACTATGAGGAAATGTGTTCAGATAATCCTGAGGACTCATTGCAACCCTATGAAACTGGATTCATAAAACGAGTAAGGATGAGGTATACCTGCATTATCAACTTTCATTATTAAACAGAAATTAGTTTATTTTAAATATTGTAATTCAATCTATTTTTTATAAATTTATAAAGCAAAAATTCTGTAAATTTAATTTTAATAAATATATAANGGTTTGGTAGGCATGGTAATTTATGATAAAATATAATATGTAAAGTGCACTCAGTTGATATAATTATGTATATTTTGTTAGTATATTTGTGTTTTATTTTATTCCATGTATTTTAATTAGTTCAATTTAACATATTTATACTACTAGTTACATTTTTGATATATTTCAACGATATGTTCAAAACAGTTATAAAAAATTTGAATTTCTTTTCATATAATCGTTCGAACCTGGAACCAATATAAAAAACTTTCCAGAGAATTCAAAATACCTGATGATGGCCTGTAGATCATGTCGAAAACGTTTGTAAGACAATAAATATTGGTTCTCAGAGACATAAGGTGTGTGTCATAGTACAATAATAATATATTAGGTATGTCCATAATGTTTATGTAAAATTTCAGCCGAAACAATATCTAATTCAAATTGCCTTTTGGTTATTCAATTCAGACACTGGTGAAGTTGAAATATGATAAAAGATGCTGAATTAAATATTATTATTATTTCTTCAGAATTCTTAAATTTCTTTAGCTAATATACTGTTATTTAATATTTTTATGACTATTTTTTAAGTGTTTTGCGTAATGTAATTTTGTTCGCGAGAAACTGCGCGTTCCAATCCTCTATATTTTACCATATCTTATACAAACTATACAGTTAAGTATGTATATGCAGTACATGATTTTTTTCAGATTTTGGTGAAAATGCTACCAGCAAAAATACCTATCAGAAAACTGTATACACCAAAAGAAAATATAATGCTCATGTCTCTGTGGTTATTAGGAAACCAAGAGAGTTTCCGTGGTGTGTCAGATCGATTTGGAATGTCCCAAAGTCATGCAAACACTGAGTTCACCAAGTTTTGTTATCAACTACTAGAACTTGCTCCACAGATCATAAAATAGCCAAATGGTGAAGCAGTCCAAAAAGAAATTAAGGATTTTGCTGAGTTAAGAGCTAATAGTTTGCCCAATACACTTGGCTGTATTGATGGAACACGTTCTGTTTTCTGTAAGAAAACATGAGAAAAATGCTCACATTAATAGAAAACAAGTGGCAAGTGTGATTTTGCAAGCT